GCTTTTTCCTTGATAAAAAGGTTTTATCTTTGTGTGTGTGTGTGTGTGTGTGTGTGTGTGTGTAGTTGTCAAAGAAAAGAACTTGCTTTTGATCTCAGAAACTTCGTCTTTTCCTTTCTGCCCAGGTCTCCCTGAAATACTCAGCAGTCCCTAACCTCTTTTTCTAAGAAAGCTATTTAGGAGGTTCAGCATTTATGTTGTTGCTTCTTTGGCCACTTACCATGTCAGAATTGGTGAGTAATTCTGGTCCTTTTCACACGTCTGAATTCATGTTGTCTTTCTGGGCCCATCTCTTTGTGCCCGTCTCTGCTCCTTTCTGTCTCGAAAGATCTTTGGCACACATACACGAATTTGGATTTACAAGATTACAAGAAGTTATGTATTTACAAAGAGGGTGTACAATGTACAAACTCATTGAGCTACATGCCGAAAATCTGTACATTTTGTTCTATGCAAGTTATACCTCAATAAGAAAAAGTTTTGTGTTTACAAACTTGCAGCAAATTTAATGAGAGTTTAAGCATCTCTTGAGTGGATTTTGGGAGTGGTGTGTGTTCCCAGCAGTATCTTGACTGGTATTATTGTTGTGCAATAGCAATGCCTGTGGCTAGGAGAACGGCCGTAAGCAACAATTTCTCGTAGCTTACGAAGGCTCGAGTTTTAACTTAAACTTTCTGCATACACCCATTACCACCAGGAACTTGAAAACACTGGAGCAGTTTCATTGCAGTGAGGACCCGTCTAGTAAATAATGCATGAAGGGGCATCTGGGGAGCTCAGTTGGCTAAGCATCTGACTCTTCGTTTCGGCTCAGATCATGATCTCAGAGTTTGAGCCCTGCATCGGCTCCACACTCTGTGTGGAGTCTGCTTGCTTATTTCCCTCTGCTTCTCCCCCTGCTCTCTCTCTCTACTCTCTCTCTCTCTAGAATAAATAAATAAAATCTTAAAAAAATAATGCATGGAGATTCTACCAAACACCTTCTCATGGGATGCCTAAGACAAGTAATTCTTTGTCTCATCCTCAGATTCCTTATCTGCAAAAGAGGATAACATTTGCCCTGCTTTATTCCTAAGGTTATTATGAGGAGAATTACATTTAAACCAATGAAGCATGTATTCAGTTCTCACTCAACCATACCAAATTCTGCGGGCATGAAAGAAGGAAAAGACAGGCTTCCTGCATTCACAGAACTTAGGGATGAGGATAGGAAGGAAGACCAGTAGGTATATGTTTACAATAGAAAGTATCACATCATCTAGGTGATGGGGTGCAGAGTGTTCCAGACCCAAGCAAAAGAAACTTTAATTCTGACTGGTGCCATTGGGGAAGGCTTCATAGAAGCACAAACATTTGAATGAGACCTTGAAGGAGGATGATTTGGAAGAAAGACTCTCCAAGTAGAGGGACAACAGGAACAAAACAGAGATAGGTCTCCATGACAATCAAATGAGTCTGTAAACTGTAAAGCATGATTCAGTGATAAGATATGACTTGTTACTTCTACTGGGGCCACCACTTACCTTCCCCAGCAGCCATGGCCCCTCTAGGTAATAAAATAGCATGGTGATTCCAAGAAAACACCAGCTTCCCAGCTTCTAGAACTTCGGTGTAGACATGACTGACTATGTATCCTCCAGTCTCAAAGGAGGTGATGATACATCTCAAGTCCAGCTTGGAAGAATAAACACAAACCAAAGGTTAACAGTTAAATTCTCTTTCCATCTTCTAACATTTCCCCCCACGTCCCTCTCAGGTGGACGCCTCCCCCGCCCCCTGTCCATCACCACATCAACTCTTCTCCCTTACAAGGATCAGAGCAGGCTCTGAGTTAGCCAGCCCACATTCAAACCCTGACGATGTTGATTTCTAGCTGTGTTATACGGAGCACCTTCCTTTAATCTATATAAGACTTAAATTTTACATCTGTAAAATGGGAATGAAAATGGTAGTACCCACTTCATAGTGTTGCTGGGAAGGTTAAGTAAAATAATGTACCTGGTACATAACACTCAAAATGTTATGTCTTAAATTGTCATCTGCAGTGGGTGTTGCCAGACTATGGCTGTGGGCCAAATCCAGCCATGTCCATTTGTTTGTGTAACGTCTAAGCAGCTTCCTGTTGCAGCAGGGTTGAACAGTGACAGGGACTGTATGCCCCACGGAGCTAAGATACTTACTGTCCGGCCCTTTGCAGAAGCAGTTTGCTGACCTCTGACCTGGGACGCTGAGAAGAGAACATCTGCTTACGTGACATTTACAACCAGTTAGATTTTGTCCTTGGTGGGCTCCCCAGTGCCTTTCCCTCTTTATTGTTGGTTCCTGGCATCAAATGATATATGGTATGAACCCCTTACAGTGGAGAAGTCCTTACAGAGAGCTCGGCATCTCAGTACCATGGAGATTCCTGGGATCTATTTATATCCTCCTGCAGTCCAGTATTAATAGAGAAGGAGCACATAGGAAATGTGGGGAAGGTGGGTAACAAATTTCAGCTCTTATTAGTTACGGCATAATCTCAAATGGAAACTGCAGAATACTCTAAGGTTAAAGGGGAGTTAGTGTTACTGGGTGATGACCTAGTCACTGAACAGAAGGAAACAATGACATGGAAAAAGAAGCAAACCATGGTGGGTGGTTTGAAATTTCCACTGACCTCCTCCTCTGCACCTTAAATTAAGAGCGCTGTAAAGTCCACTCCTATTCCATTTAAATATCTCTCTTTTAAAGCACCTGCAACATTATTGCTATTCTAAGATGTACAGAAACCTGGTAGACGGAGATTATGCAGCAGAGCAGTATTTCTAGGGTTTTGTTATTTGCGTATTGGGAAGATCACTGGGTCTGGGTCCAGAAAACCTTGCCATGATCTAGATGGGACCACAGAGGCATGTCACCTCCCCTCTCTTAGCCTCAGGTTCCTAGTAGAGACAATCTCTTTGTTAATTGTTAGAGGATACTAAATGGAGACCCTCAAAGAGCAGTGTGTGCATGTGTATGACTATGTGTGGTGGGGTGTTCTGTAAGGAAGGGATTGTAAGCTTTCTTTTGAACGGCAGATGCAACAAGAAAATATTCTAAGATGAGCTTTGGTCGTGTTTTCACCTACTACCCCCTAGGCCACCTGCATCCATTCCCCTTATTCAACCGAGGGAAGGTTGCTTTGGACCCTGGCTCTCATCGAGGCGGAGAATGAACCTAGTGTTCACTTGCATACACCTGTGATCCAGAGACGTACATTCCTAAAATCATTGGCCGGGGGAGTTGTCTTTTGTCAGTGCAGAGGCTTTTCTTAATTGAATAAAAAACAGATATTCACTTATATCAAAAATTCATTAAAAACACCAACATTCATTGAGGTGTTGTCAGTGCTGGGGCCAGCAAGAATGGACAGTCATTGTCCCTTAATGACCTCAAATCCAGCCTTGAAATACTCTTTAACAATTCCATCCTGAAAACACTTTCTTTCCTTTTGTTACAGCCACGACCCTGTCCCACGGCGTCCTCACTGTCCTTCCTCCCACTCTTGATGCCTCTTCTTCCAGTTTACTTTTGGAGTTTCTTCCCCACTAAAGTGCAAATGACTGTTGATAGTTCAGAAGAGTTTTCTTCTTGCATTAGAGTTCCATGTCCTTCCGACAGCACTTTCCCTGCTAAACCTGGATTTGGCCTCAGAACCCATCTGTCGTTACCAATCACGGTTGGCAGTTACGTCTATAACTATTCATCATGGTTTTTTTTTTTTTTAAGATTTTATTTATTTATTTGACAGAGAAAGACACAGCGAGAGAGGGAACACAAACGGGGAGTGGGAGAGGGAGAAGCAGACTCCCTGCCGAGCAGGGAGCCCGATGCGGGACTCGATCCCGGGACTCCAGGATCATGACCTGAGCCGAAGGCAGTCGCTTAACCAACTGAGCCACCCAGGCGCCCTATTCATCATGGTTTAAGCCAAGGCTGAAATTTCAGGAATCAGATAGCAAACACTAGGTTCAGTTTTTTGGGGAGAGAGGGGAATGGGGGTTTCATGGTTTTTTGTTTTGGGTTTTTTTGGGGGGGCCTTGCAAAGTGAGATGACAGAGATATGGCTTGCCCCTGTTATATATAAGGTCCCAACTTAGCAAAGGGCATAGCCCAAGGGTGGCAATTATCTTGCAGAAATGTTCTCTACCAAGAAGAAAGTCAGAGATGATCTTCACTGGGCTGAAAACTTGTCATGAAGAAAGTGAGGAGTGTGGCATTTGTATCCCTATAAAGGCACAGCCACTCAAAATACCCACAGTGAGTGGAGAATTCAGAGCAGAAGCACTGTGGGTAGAGAAGGCCCCAGAGGTGTTATATGGTGCCTAAGTGAATAGTTGGACTCAAGAAGAATCTAACTTGAATGTTGCAGAGCGATTGTATGAGGAGCTTTATTCCAGAAAGTTCTATCATCTTATGCACTGTGTTTGACAGGGGATAAAGTCCGAAGAAGGAAAATGAACACATTCATTAATGAGGATTCAACTTGCAATTGTGTGTCAAAAAGACTCAATAATTTAAATAATATTCCATGACTTTCACAGTATTTATTTTTTAAAGATTTATTTATTTACTTAGAGAGAGAGTGAGTGCAATTTGTGGGAGGAGCAGAGGGAGAGGGAGAGAGAATCCCAAGCAAGCTCCAACCCCAGAGCAGAGCCCCACATGGGGCTCAATCCTAGGACTCTGAGATCAAGAGCTGAGCCAAAACCAAGAGTTGGATGCTTAACCGACTGAGCCACCCAGGCACCCCCGCTTTCACAGTATTTAAATGTGAAAGTATGCATTAAACTTGGGAACCTGCTGGGATATAGTAGATTGTAAACATTTCCATATAGTTACAGAATTTCAAATGCAACATTATGCCCTCATGTTAATATTAATATAAATTCAAGAGAGCTTAGTTCAAATAAACACATTATTGGAGTTGACAACAAAAGTGTGGACACCTCCCTGACTCGTAGGTGTGCTCACTGCAGATCTCTGTTGGCAAAGGAGACAACTTGGTATAGTCTGGGCTCTCTCAAGAACCTCTCTTTACCACGTATTGGCTGTGAATCTCTGAAGCTCTTCTCCAGCTGTCAAAGTATTTGAATCACTTGTCTACAGGTATGTAAGCATGACATAGTTACCTTAATAATCTGCAGAAATATGCACAAAGTTATATTTCTGCCTGACGTCCCATTACCAATATAAAAATATAATCGACTGTTTTGGTCATTTGCATTAATAATTAACTAGGACACTTTAAAATTCCCATTTTCCTCAAAGCTACATTTTTATAAGTGCTTGATTTTTTTCCTCTCAATAATTTTGTGAGGGAGTGTTCAGTGTTTTTACGAAATAAGTATCTTTTTATGTAACTTATAAATGCACATAGACATAAAAAGTATTAACAATTAAGAGTTCATAGGATACCCCTATTATTATTATTACTATTTACCCCTATGATTTGTTTTAATTAGATTTTAAACACAGGCTTAACATCATATGTATACACACCCATGTGGTTATCTTGACCAGCAAGATTAACCTTGAACTATTCCTTCAAGGGTATTGTCTCATTAGATGATCCTCCCTATCACCTCACAGGGAAAGAGTCAGCCTTCTGCAATATTTGGAATCATATTTTCCCCTAAATGCAGTTGTAGTGGAGTAAAATAAATAGTAGATTTAGAGGTAGGGTTTATGCCGCAACTCTGTCAACAACCCAGTTCACCTGTTACTAAAAGGACCTTTCATTTAAGCTTTCAGAGCTTCAATTTTGCCATCCTTGAAATGGAAACAATAGTATTTTTTCTTATTATGTAGCTCATTTAATTAAAAAAATATTTAATAACGTAGTCTTTGAGGAAAGCACTGGCTAAAAACTCTAACATTAAACAAGTACAAGACCTTCTAGGACATGCTGTGATATTTTACCACACCATGACTTTATCAGTCCCTATAGTTCTAACAATGCCCAAACAGTAATCATTTGGCCACTGGTAGTTCCTACTTCTTACTCCATGTGACTGGAGAGGGCCTGCCCAACGTGATGTAAATGTGGCCAAAGTACCAAAACCCTCTGGATGCAGTGACCGGTTCGGGAATGATTCTTCTAAGATGAAACCAGGTAAGTAAAAACTTGATTCTGGAATTTACTGGGCAGGGACTCTCTTTCAACGAGAAGTAAGGATATTAGGAAGTAAGTCTGGAGGTGCTAATGGTCATCTTATCAGCAGGTAGACTGATTTATTGAAGCTAACTATAAACTAACTATTGAAACTAACAGAGAGAACAGCAGGAGATGGAGAAGAACATATCCTGCATTACAGCATTGGAATCCCTGGATTTATCACCCCTGAGGTTTCACTTGTGTGCTTTTTAGTTATCCAGTCCATGGATTTCTTTTCCACTTTAGACTTCGGAATTGAGTTTCTGTCACTTGCAGTGAAAAGAGCCTTGACTGATTCACTTACTTCTCACTATGAAGGAGGTGTTCTATAAAGAGTCCATGGCCAAGCTATGTATGACTCATGATTGCGTCAAGAGACCCAGTGCTAAATGCCAGTGATAAGGTTGTGCGATGGCCTTCACCCCATCTTCTGTGCGTAGCTAGACTGCTTAATAGACCTTGAGCCTGGATCTTCAGAGTCTAGGTTCTCAGTCAGCACCACAGCCCACCTAAACCCAGCCAACAGGTGAGTCTGCTCTTCTGTCAGGTTGACCCCTGGCTTTTAACCCAAGGGCTAGGAAATGCTTCTAATAAATCCTTGTAGAATCCTTTCTGATGACTCAACTCCTCCCCGATTCATTCGAGATTTATTACTGTGTGCAGAAGCTTAAATATTGCCCGAATTGCACCCTCCCTTAAACCCCCATTGGCTCTCTCAGACTTTGGTGCCTGGACTGGATTTGAGCTTGCTCTGAATTACTCCTGACTATAACACCGAATTTGAACTTCTGACCACCATCCTCCTCTACCAGAATAGGACCAAACTTTCTTTCTCAGTTTTTCCTGGCTTCTGGACAATTCTTACTCACCCTTCTACCATTCTTTCGGAGTGATGAAATCAATTTCATTTATAGATCTCTACACTTAGATATAGTGAGGCTATCTCAGGATCTTGAAGGTACTTTTTAGAACTAAATGAGATTTTCAATTTTTCATGTACCAAGTGCCTATCCCCCACCCACAACCTTGAAATCAGACTCATGCTGGAGTTCTCTGGCCAGACTCTACTTGGGAAACCAGCCAAAGGAAATCTCTGCAACAGATTGGTCCAGCCCCAATTATGGCAGAGGAGTGGGAGTACACATTACTCCAACAAAAGAAGGCCTGCCCAGAGTCATCCGGCACATCTCATGCTGGCCCTGCCAAAGTAGGAAAAGTGGAGAATGCCCACCGAAGACAGGAGTGACTTCATGCTCCGTCCCTGGAATTGCCTCTGAACTTGTCCTAGGAGAGGACGCTGGGTGCTAATCAAGAGGACTTTGATGATTGTTGGTAAATTTGGGCAAATGGGTCCTTTGCCTGGACTACTCTTTTCATTTGCAGGTTTGTGCATTAGTCTCCATGTCATCTGAAGCAAGGGGTGCTGGGTTCCCTGCTTGGATGTGGGAAGTTGAAGACAGGACCTTCTGTCCATCTTCAAAGACAGCTCCAGGACCTAGGCTACTTTAAACTGGGAAGCCAGGGAAAACTGCCTAGCCCAGACCACTGAGGCAGCCAAGATTTTCTTCTGTCCTGATGGCCCAGTATCATCTCCTGTTCTGATCATGACCAGCTCTTGGAGCTCTTGCTCCTCTCAGGGCCAATAGAAAGGACATGGGTCCAAGAGAAGAGTTCAGAATGCCCCCAAGACAACTTAAATCAGGAAAGGTAGAGTCCCAAGCCTTGAAAAGGAAAAAGTCCTAATCTGAATCTTGTTTTGATTATCAATCAATGACGGCAAGGTCAAGTTCAGCTCAACTTCAAAATTCCAGAGTACAGCTATTCAGCACTTGCTATGTTCAAAGTGCTCAGAAGTCAGAGGGGGGCCCAAACTCAAAGGGAGCCAGTTCTTTCCTTAAGAGCTGATCAAGTGGCTGAGCACCCAAGAAGTTGAGTTCAGAGGGAATGGAAGACCACCTAGAGGCTGTCTTGGTTTTTAGTTTTTTTCATGGCTGGGGGGAGGGATGGGGTGGTGAGTCCCAGTCCTGAGCTATAAACTGAACCATGGGTAACAATTTCCATATAAACAATAAATGCTGGCTACATCCTAGGCTACCTCAGCAAAGTCTATTAAACACGTACTATAGGAACAAAGATTTATGTCTACAAGAAATTTGTTCTGAGTTAAAAAAGAAACAAAACAAAAACCTACCAATGGACTTAGGCATACATCTTCTGTGTAAAGCTGGAGACAGTCCGTACTGTACCTGGGTAAATGCAGAGTAGTTCTGAACATAGGGTAAGTGCTCGATGACCACTTTATGCTTGATAGATTAGTCATTCTATAAAAGTTTATCATGTTCTTTTCATTTGTTTTCTTTATTTGTAACTCATTTTCAATGAACTTCCGTATATGACAAGCAGAATCCTAATAACAGACATCTTTAAAGGTGCGTGATCCAAGTCCGTGTGCCTTAATTCTTCCTTTTCTTAGAATATATTTGTTGAGTTATATATCATACATATATATAATATGTATTATATACAAAATCTGTATAAATTTAAAAGCAAAAGTTTGTTTCTTTTGAGAGTTTACTAAAGACTTGACTTTTACCATTCATGTAATAGGGCATAGATTTTCCTTAAAAGTAAAGTCTCCATTTCAAAAAGTTGGTGACAAGGACAGCAGGGATAAAGAATTTCAGCAGTTTAAATTTAAGGTCCTGGGTAAAGTTCAAATGGGGAATATTTTCTGACTATGAGAAGTTGGCGTTTTTTTATATGATTATTTTTCACAGAGTCAGAAACACCCAGAGGGCAGTGAGGGGCGCTGAGCAGTGACACGGTGAAGAGCGCCAGGACACTGTCCCAAGGCTGCAGGGCACCACGTGCTCTGCCCAGCTCCCCGTGGAGGTGGCTCAGCTTTGGCGAGTCACATAGATAGTTATTCAGGCCCAGTTCTTGAATTTCAGCATATTTTGCTTCTGAAAAGACAAAAACCAATTACTGATAGCGATGCTGACCTCAGATATGCAGGCTATCTTAGTGAAATGATCTTCACGAACCATATTATTGCCAGTTAGAGGTGACCCTGGATGTGTTGATATAAGTTTCATGAAAAAAACAAAACCAAATCCAAACCCAAGAAATAGATATTCTCCCTGAATTTGTGTTTTCAGTCACCAGTGTGGTTTTGATCCCGCTCATTGTTTTTGCCAGCGAAGCTCTCTCTTACTAAGAGGTCCTTTGTAAGATCACTCCAACCTCTTGGGAATTACTATTGGAGCATGTTATCCAAAGACTGTAGTTAGCTGTGACCTCTCTGTCTCCCCCAAGAGAATGTGTCTTCTAAGGGGTCTAAGCCGGATCTGGCTCAACTCTATCCTGTGTCGGGCCAACAAGTGTCTTGAACATAACAAGTGCTGAATAGCTGTACTCTGGAATTTTGAAGTTGAGCTGAACTTGACCTTGCCGTCATTGATTGATAATTAAAACAAGATTCAGATTAGGACTTTTTCCTTTCCAACCTCAGCACCCATAGTCTCTTATGGAAGTCTCAGGAGCCCAGGTGCTCGGCACCTTCGTGAGCCAGCCCCACTCCCACCTAAGGTCTTCTCTCAGGCAAAAGGCAAAAGCTACCCCACGCCTTCCCTCCCACCTCAGCTTGTCTTGCATACTCAGCCTCTATGCCCTGGGCTCAGGGCTGCCTTTGAGAAGGGTCAGAAGCATTGAAGTCAGGGCTTCTGATACTTCACGACATCTATAAATCATAGCCATATAGCTACCTTTTTCTGAGGATCTGTTACATCCCAGATAATGTGCTGGACATGTTTAAAACCTGTTATTTATTTACTCTGCCTCAAGCCAGAAGAGTGATTCCCTTTGCTAATTCTTTTGTTTAGACAGTGAAGATCCCTGATTTAATGAAGCTCATGTTCCTATGGAAAAAGAGAGGACAACAAACAAGTAAACAAGGTAATTTCAGATAGTGACTACACAATGAAGGAATTACAACTGGGTTATGATGTAGTTAGCACTGCTTTATTTTATTTTATTATTTTTTTAGCACTGCTTTAGATATCAACATCAGGGAAAAATCTCTCCAAGGGGGTGACATTAGTGCTGAACCCCAAATGAGGTAAAGGAGACTGGTAATGTAAAGAGCATTCATTCACAAGGACCAGCATGGGCAAAGCTCTGAGGAGGGTATGGGCTTTATCGCATTATTATCTATGGGGGCGCCTGGGTGGCTCAGTCGTTAAGCGTCTGCCTTGGGCTCAGGTCATGATCCCGGGGTCCTGGGATCGAGCCCCACGTCGGGCTCCCTGCTCAGCAGGAAGCCTGCTTCTCCCTCTCCCACTCCCCCCGCTTGTGTTCCCTCTCTCACTGCCTCTCTCTGTCAAATAAATAAATAAAATCTTAAAAAAAAAAAGTTATCTATGGCTCTGTTTCCTTTCTCTGCTAGAATTTGAGCAATATCCTAGCTCACCTACACACTTGGAAAGGACTTTTCTTGCTAGTAACTGGGCTTTCCATCCCCAGCATCCCCCCAGCACAGCTGGGACACCCTATTACATTCATAAGCATTTTCTTTGTTCTTCAAGATATAGTCAAAACCCCACCTCTGCTTTCCCATCTTAGTGTTCAGTGAATTAATTTTGTATTTGTTTTCTCCTGGTTTATTTTGCCATATGAAACACGGGTCATCACCTCTGCCTAGGCACCTCCTGGTATTTGTGAGGCTTTCATTCAACAGATTTCCTAAGCATCAACCTTGTGCTAGGCATGGGGCTAAGGCTTGGGACCTAAAGATAAACACAGGTTGGTAACTGCTCTGTGACACATATGTGTTTTGCTAATTAGACTTGCATTATAGATAGCTTTCTCCAGCAATGGTGTGGAGAATTGATTGAAAAGCAACCAGATTGTATATAGGGAAAACAGTAAGTATGTCTATATATGCCTGTGAGTATGTGTGTGGTGTTGTAGATGGCTGCTAACACCCATCCCCCTTTTTTTCCTGGAAAAAAACACCCTGTTTTCATGGATTACCACCCCCTCCTCACCACCACTCCTGTTCCATGAGGTTGGCTGAGATTGATTCCAGCTTCAGATTCCAGAGGCCATGTCACAGGTCCTGGCTAATCAACACCAGGTAATCCTTTTTGCTAGAAAAAAAAAAAAAAAGTAAGAAAAAGTTTCTTTCCTCTGGGGTGGTTGAAAGGCTGGGATGCATGACTGGAGCTCTGGAAGTTATCACCATGGGGGAAGAGCCCATGGAGAGCAAAGCCCCACTCAAAGAAAATCTGCCCTAAAATACAGGGAGGCAGTACCATGGTGAGCTCCTAGATCTAGCTGGACACCCTTAGCTCAGTTAAATGAACCAAAAAATTCCCTTTTCTTATTTGATTTGAGTTGGGTTTTCTGCTACTTACAACCCAAATATTCCTAAGTAATATAGATGAGGAGCTTAAGGCACATTGACATTAGTTGCCCAAGATCCCACAGCTAGTAAGTAGCTGTGTTTACTTTAAACCCAGGAAATTGATCTCCAGAGTCTTTGCTCTGCTTGCGTCTTAGATCAGGGTAGGAAGGGAGAGGAGCAGAGGGATTTGAGAGATGCTTCGGTGGTTGAAGCTGTAGAACTTGGGGACAGGCTGAACATGGCCAATCAGGGAAACATGACTTACACATCAGGGAGATGATGGTATCACTCATGGGGGAAAGAGGAAATACCAAACAGAGGACATATTTGGGGGTGGAGAAGAGTTGGAGGTGATGAGTTGTGTTCTGGATGTTTTGAGTATAAGGTGTCTGTGGGGCATGCAAATAGAAATGCCTGGACCACAAGTGAGCAAAAAAGCTCTAGGCTAGATTCACTCAGTCTTTTAAAAAATACTTATTAAAGGTCTGCTCTGTGGGGGCCCCTGGACTAGATTAATGGGGATATATGGGAGAACTCGGTAGGCATAGAAATTTTTTGGACTTATGGAGCTTACATTTAAGTCTGAGTTATTAGTGTATCAGTGATCTTTGAGGTGATATGGGTGAATGAGGATACCCAGGGATTGGATATAAAGTAAGAATAAAAGGAAATTTAACTTCTGCATCTCGGCTTCCTCGTCTATAACTACCCCATGGGGTTGTTATGAAGGTTAAGCTTTTAGAATGATGCTGTACATAATGGGCCACCTGTATATCTTAGCTATGATGAGTGTGAGGTGCAGCTAATGTTGATAATGAAGAGGGGCAGGCAGTGTCAGAAGTTAGGGTTAATGCATAACCTGGAGGTAAGATTGTGCTTATCACAAATGATTCTAGTCATATGGAATGAAATCAGAAAGGATACAAAATCGAACTTTAGCTCTTCCTGTTGCGATGCTTGCCGCTACATAGGCAAGAGTTGAGAAAAGCGAACTTCTTTGGCTTTCAAGTACCCCAGCCCCTATTAAATTAAATTTAAATGAATGTGCCGGGACGCCTGGGTGGCTCAGTTGGTTAAGCGACTGCCTTCGGCTCAGGTCACGATCCTGGAGTCCCGGGATCGAGTCCCGCATCGGGCTCCCTGCTCGGCGGGGAGCCTGCTTCTCCCTCTGACCCTCCCCCCTCTCATGTGCTCTCTGTCTCTCATTCTCTCTGTCTCAAATAAATAAATAAAATCTTTAAAAAAAATAAAAAATAAGAAAAATAAAAAAAAAATTTAAATGAATGTGCCACTTAGCTAGGTGCCAGGGATGCAAATACAAACACAAATGTGATATTGCCTTTTCCCTCCGTGACGTTCATGTCCTTGTGGCTCTCATTAGTGTCAACTTCTTGCCTCCCCTGGGTTCTTATTCTTTGCACTTGGAGCCCTTTCTTCACCGACAGACAGGTATTAGCCTAAATACAGAACTCAGCCATTAGTCTCGATTTATATACACACTCACAATATTAAGTCAAAGCTTTTGCGTGGTGACTTGACCAAAATCTTAGGGAGGCAGGTGGCCTCTACTTCAGCCATCCTTTCTCTGCTCACTCAGAACACCTTCAAATGTGTACCTTTTTTCTTACACAAAGCAATACCACTCTCTTGAGCCTCTACCCCAGAGCTACTTCCAGGCCTTTGTTTACACATCCCAGGATTTAGCAGATGCCTTGAGGTTTCACTTTAAAGAGTCTGATTAAATTCTTAGACAAGGGTTATCTTCTTCCCTAGTCTCTACTTGGGGAGAGAGAGGTGGTTTACTTAGAGATAGGCTATGGGTATCTATGACATATTTATACACAAACTTAAATATACATGCATTGTTAGTAAAAAAAAAAAAAAACAGCATTATGCTCTCTCTATATTTTTGCTGTCTGCTCTTTTTCAATTATAAATATATTTTAAACATTCTTAGTGTCAATAACTCTGATCTAGAACATGATTTTTAATGGCTACGTATTACTCTATTCTATGGCTATAATGTAATTTTCTTATGTAGTTTTGATATTTAAGTTGTTTTCAATGTTTCACTTTCATAAATAATTCATTGGAGAACATCCTTGGGTCTTCATCCTGTGGGACCCCTGACACCTAGGGCAGAGCCTGGCACTTAGTAAATGTACACTAAAATATTTGCAGAGTGAATGAGTGAATATGTCAACTCCATTTCCATCCCAGGCGCTAGTGTTTCTTTTCATACTGTGTATTATTTAAGTCCAAAGTTTTCTCTTTAATAATAGCTGCAGTTATCACAGAACAGTGTAAATCAAGGTCCCAGTTCCAATAGGCAGTTTCGGTTACCAAGATACTATGCAAAGTGAGGACTGTATTACTTTGTTTCCTTAATTCAAAAGTAATGCATGATCACTTTAGATAACTTAGAAAATGCATATAAAGAGAAGGAAAAAAGGTGAAATCACCTGTAATTACAGCACTCTTAATTAAATTAAGAGTTAATCACTAGGACATTTTGATATATATATTCCTGTTAATCTTTTTTTGTGCAAATATATGTTGGTTTTTTTTTTTTTTTTACAAAAAAGGAGGGGTAATACTTTTCATACTAGTTAGTAACTGCTTTTTTCCACTATATATAGTGAACAACTGCTCATGTCATTAAATATTTTTCTTTTACATGGTTGTTATCAGGTTCCTAGGGTTACATTTTATGGATGAACTGCAGTATTTTTAACTAATCTCTCATTGTGGGTGAAGTACATAGTTTTTTGTATAAACCATGGAAAAAATTCTAAAATCTAGTTAATTTATATGGTTTTGTAGTTTTCAAATTTTGCACTATAAAGATATATTAATTTTAAAAAACAGAAATACATACTATACTATATGCTATAGGATAGTTTTGGGAAATAGATCGGGGGAAAAATAGGCGGCACTTTTTCATGTCCTACTTGATACATTTCTGTATTGTTTGAAAATTTGGACACCAGTGTGTGTTAATTTTATAATTAAAAATAAACACTGAAAAGTGTTTTTAAATTTTAATTTACACCTAGCACCCAGACCTTGGTTTCTAATACCATTCTCCCATAAAAGGAACCCGGGCTTCTTGAAAAAAAAATGGCTAACTCTAGGGCTGGGGTAGGGGAAATTCAAGATGATCCTGGAGCATCTCACTACACCAGAGAGTAAGAAAAAGCTCAAAAAAAGCAAAAAAAAAAAGTGACACGTCAAAGGGACACGGGCACCAACCTGAAAGAGCTCCCAATGGCCAAATCTGGAATGGTATGATCTGCACAATAAATGGTATTAAATTATAACCCAAAGTATGAAATAAATATCCATGAGTTCCAAACATGATGCAAATAATAATAGAAATAAATCAGTGGGGGTGGGGGAGGAGACAACTCTTCCTTATAGAAGAATTCCAAATAATTTACATAGATCCCACCCAACCTGCAGGAGGTGGAGCTTAATCACACCCCACCCCCCCACCCCCCGCCCCACCATGAAAATAAAAGAAAAACCCACCCACTTTGAACCCGGTGAGCTGTGTTCACTGAGTGCAACCTGCAAAGGGGAGAACAGTAACTTTACAGAGGCAAGCACCACCTCGGCAAGGTGATCCCGGCCAACATCACAGAGCTAAGTCGTGTAAACAGCATGTACTCCTGATATGATGTGATGACAGTGGGCACTTCGTGTCTGTGGTCTTCCTCCCTGAAAAACCCAGTACCCAGTCTCCTCTTGAGAAAACGTCAGGCAGATCCTAACCGAACACCTGACCGGCACTCCTCAGTCATCAAAGACAAGGCCAAGCTGAGAAACATCACAGCCCAGAGGAGGCTGAGGAGGCAGGAGGATGAAAAGCAATGTGGGATCCTGAATTAGATCCTGAACAGAAAGAGGACCTTAGTGGAAAAACCAGGGAAAGCCGAACAGAATCTGGAGCTGAGCGAACAGTGCCAGACCAATGTTGGTGTCTTCCTTTCGATGATTGTAGCACAGTTCTGTGAGAATAAGAACATTAGGGGAGCTTCTCTGAGGGGTACACTGGAACCCTCGGCACTATCTTTGTAGCTTTTCTGTAGCTGTAAAACTATCATAAAATTAAAAGTTATTTCAAAAAATTAAAAATGCTTCCATCAACAAACATGCCTATCTTGAGCAAGGGTCTTTGCATATTAAGAAACCGAACTACTTCTAATCCTTCAAATTATACCTAATCATGTTACTATAAACATTATGAGTTAGAATCACATTTTTAGGCCCACGCTGTCCAAAGCTTGCATTTTTAATATTGTGTCTTTTTCCTTTTTTCCACGGGTGACCTTAGACATGCCTGTGATATCACGGCTGGGCCTCTAATCCTGCTCCACCCCTGACTCAGGCTTCTGATACAGCTGGGGCCGGAGCGGGGTTGGGGGGGCATCCTCTGGGCTGGATCTTAGCCGCCTGGAGCTCCCGCATCCTAACATTGAACCTGGGTGCATTTTCTGGGCAGCCTCTGATGCTTTGGGTCTTTTGCCTTTCGAACTACCTTCTCTCAGTCAAGCAGGTCTTGGTAAGGAAAAGAGCTACTTTTGGTAAGGATTTTAGACTGTATTCTAAGGGCAACAGGAAACTTTTGAAGATTTTAAGCAAGCGAGGTGCATAACCTGCAGAATGTGAACTAGGAGGGAGGGATGGAAGAGTGACTTTGAGAGTGACTATTACGGCAGCCCCTGGGG